ACTAGTGGCATGGTTTTAAATATCGACCGATAATCCGAATTATCACCGAGTTATTGGATTTGGGAGCTTTCCGCTAGAATAAGTAGGATTTTTAATCGGTTATTGTTTTTATGGGTTTATCGGTGAGTTATCAGCGATAAAGGCACTTATCGGTCGATAAGGGAGGCTAAAAATATCAGCTTTATCGGCGTGAGTTTTGAGTTGAATTGTTGGGTAATGAGTTGTTACTTAGTGAGTTCTTAAACCCGACCAGACCTGCTTTTAACAATAAAATGAAGTTTCTAACTTCAAGTTCAGCCCTAATCCTTCGTGAATCTCTCTCTCTCTCTCTCTCTCTCTCTCTCTCTCTCTCTCTCTCGCTTTGAGCCTCCGAGCCTCTTCGAACTCCAATGAGCTTAAGATCTCTATTCCCCTCTAACTCTGTTGACCTCATTGCTCGCCTCCTTAACCTCGAAGCTCACGTCCGCAAACGTCGCTTGCCTCCCCAACCTCAAAGCTCACCTCCGTCGACGTCGCTCGCCTCCCTGACCTTGAAGCTCACCTCGGTTGACGTTGCTCGCCTCCTTGACCTCACAGCTCAACTCTGCTAACGTCGATTGCCTTCTCGGCCTCGCAGCTCAACTCCGTTGACGTCGATTGCCTCCCTAACCTCGAAGCTCACCTCCATTGATGTCGCTTGCCTCCTCGACCTTAAAGCTCACCTCTGCTGACTCCAACGTTCGTCGTCGGCGCTCCGCTCCTCTTCAAACTCCATCGAACAGTTATCTACTCACTACTCAGTTATTTTTTACTTTTTCTCTTAAAGTTCATTTCTTCTCTTCATCTGATATTCTTATTACATTATTTTTCACTGCAGTTAGTTTATAGCAAACTAATTTTTAAGCAAACTTGTATAAATATAGTAACTTGGATACTTGTATAGCAATTAGTTTATAGGAAACTTGTAATTAATTTTAAGAAAATACTATGACTTATGATTTTTCACTGCAATTAGTTTATAGCAAATTTGTAATTGATTTTAAGAAAATATTGTGACTTGTGAGACTTGTATAAGAAATTAGTTACAAGTCTTAAATTTTTTTTACTGCAATTAGTTTATAGCAAACTTGTAATTAATTTTAAAAAAATAATTGTGAGACTATAAAAGCAAATTTAAGTTTAATTGTAATTAATTTTGAGCAATTAGTTTTTACTTGAGCAATTAGTTTTAACTGCAACTAATTTTTCACTGCAACTACTTTAGCTAATTATAACTCGATTAATAATCTCTGAGTTTCATCGAATCACTGTTCACTGTGACTAATATTGATTAGTTTTACAACTTGGATCTGCAGATGGTTTACAATTGCTATTTTAAGTTGTCTTCCTCAATTCTTTGGAATCTTGATGTCATTTTGAACTCAAGTCTGCAACAAAATAAAACTGATGTTAGGCATAGAATTTTATGACTTGATAAAATAAACAAAATACATATACACTTGTGTAATTGTGTTTGCCATTTTATTTTCAAACTTGTGTTCACAGTTCACTATCTCTTAAATGTTGACAGGAGAATGTCTTCTGAAGGCTAAGCGTCTAATAAACCACCAACGTCAGGTGGTAAAAATCCTTATTGGGCATATGGTGAGCGGGTTGGTTATAATGCTTTAAAGGCTCGTTGCAAGTTTTGCAGGCAGTCTATGTGTAGAGGTATAAGTCGGTTCAAACAACAATTGGCTAGAATCAAAGGGAACTGTATGCCGTGTGAAAAGGTCCCAGAAGATGTAAAGAAAAAAGTTAATGAAATCATTGTCAGTGCCAAGAAGAATAAGGGTGCAAAGGAGTTGAGGATGCGAGATTTACTTGATAACGTTCATATAGGGGAGGAAGAGGGATATGAAGGGAGTGTGACCACATCTACTTAGAGTCAGAGAAGCTTATCATCATCCTCCTTCAAGACGAAAGGGCCAATGGACGCTTTTGTGGGCCGCTCTCATGAGGAGTCGACCGGACTAGTATTAAAAATGAAACAACTGGTGATGGACTGCAAGTACAAGAAGAAAGCAAGAGATGATGTGAACATGTACATTGGAAGATGGTTATATGAAGCCAACATCGCTTTTAATACCGCAAGTATTCCTTCTTTCATACAAATGGTGCAGGCAATTGTTAAGTTTGGAGTCTTCTTGGAAGCTCTGACACCGTATGAATTGAGGGAGACTATTTTGCAAAGAGGCGGATGAGACAAGTGAGAGAGTTGAAAATTTTAAGAAGAGTTGTGCACTTAACGGGTGCTTCATAAGATCGGAAGATGAGAAGTATTATGAATATAGTTGTGCATTCAGATGGAGGAACAACATTTTTGGGTTCATGTGATGCATCGGGCGATAAGCATAATGCGAATTATATATGCAACTATGTGGAGAAAGCAATTGAAGAGTTGGGGCGCAAAATGTCGTGCAAATTGTCCCCGTTGGAGCTTCAAATAACATGGCAGCTACAAAAAACTTAGCAATTAAGAAGCCAAATATATTTTGGACAACTTGTGCGGTGCACACTATTAATTTGATGTTAGCGGATATAGTCAAAATAAGAACTATTCGGAGTGCAATTGTGATATGGGTGTATCTTCTCTTCGGAAAAGCGATCCTCATGGGAGCTTGAGGATAGGTGATTCTCATGATATCTTAAGAATAGAGGTGTGAAGCGATACGGTGGAGCATAGGTAGAAGCGTGGAACGAGACGACGAGCAGCAAATTCGAAGAATCTAGTTTTCAGCTCGTGAGTCGACTCAAACATGAACATGAATCGAATCATCAGGTTGAGTCGACTCATGTCTGTCATGAGTCGACTCACGAAACCCAGCCGTTTTGTCAAAAGTTTCTGCTCGGTCGACTCATCAGTTTATGAGTCGACTCATCAGTCACGAGTCGCCTCATATGCAATCATGAGTCGACTCATCGAGGTTTCCTAGGCAGACTTGGTTTCTGTTTTGAAGGAATCCTAGCTGGGTTTGGTTTTGGTTATTTATCAGATTGCCACCACATTGTAAACCCTATAAATAGGGATTGTTTAGGGTTCTAAACAAAGAAAAGGCCAAGATATAGATCTAAAGGGTTTTAGGTCTAAGTGAGATCCTAATCAAAAGGATTAGGGTTTAGATTGTGAGGATATATGAGATCTTAGATCAGAGAAAGATTCTAATCATTGTATTAGGGTTTAGAGAGGATTGAGAGGTTGTTCTTGATTCTAGTGAGATTGTGAGGGAGAGATTTGTAATAATTAATTCTTCATAATCTAGAGAAGGTATTTTCCTTCGCCATACTGAATTGTTCTTGTGTTTTAGTTGTCTTCTTCTCAACCCACCTTTTGGTAATTCCACGACCAAAGGGTGCTCGCACGACGACGCGTATCAAGTTAGTATCAGAGCAATCAGATCCGGTGAAGGGGCATCCTGTGTATGGTCCTGACTCGATCGCAGTACAAGAAGCTTAGCGAGATCCTTTTCTTTGGAAGGAGTTCAGAGATTAAGGAAGAAGAAGATAACTGAAGTCATGGAGGGGCTCGAGAGTTTTCTTAGCTGAAGTTCTAACTTGAATAGGACTTCAAGTTTTCTAAAGGGGGACCCATGATACAGGTGTATCTTCTCTTCGGAAAAGCGATCCTCATGAGAGCTTGAGGATAGGTGATTCTCATGATATCTTGAGAATAACGGTGTGAAGCGACACGGCAGAGCACATGTGGAAGCGTGGAACGAGACGACGAGTAGCAGATTCGAAGAATCCAGTTTTCAGCTCGTGAGTCGACTTATACATGAACATGAGTCAACTCATCAGGTTGAGTCGATTCATGCCTGTCATGAGTCGACTCATAAAACCCAGCCGTTTTGTCAAAAGTTTTTGTTTGGTCGACTCATCAGTTTATGAGTCGACTCATCAGTCATGAGTCGACTCATATGCATTCATGATTCGACTCATCGAGGTTTCCTGGACAGACTTGGTTTCTGTTTTGAAGGAATCCTAGCTGGGTTTGGTTTTGGTTATTTACCAAATTGCCACCATGTTGTAAACCCTATAAATATGGATTGTTTAGGGTTCTAAACAAAGGAAAGGCCAAGATGTAGATCTAAATGGTTTTAGGTCTAAGTGAGATCCTAATCAAAAGGATTAGGGTTTAGATAGATCTAAATGGTTTTAGGTCTAAGTGAGATCCTAATCAAAAGGATTAGGGTTTAGATTGTGAGGATCTATGAGATCTTATAAGTGAGATCCTAATCAAAAGGATTAGGGTTTAGATTGTGAGGATCTATGAGATCTTAGATCAGAGAGCGATTCTAATCATTGTATTAGGGTTTAGAGAGGATTGGGAGGTTGTTCTCGATTCTAGTAAGATTGTGAGGGAGAGATTTGTAATAATTGATTCTTCATAATCTAGAGAATATATTTTCCTTCGCCATACTAAATTGTTCTTGTGTTTTAGTTGTCTTCTTCTCAACCTACCTTTTGGTAATTCCACGACCAAAGGGTGCTCGCACGGCGACTTGTATCAAATTGCAATGGGAAGAACAGTGTCAGTGTACATCTATAGCCACACGAGATCTCTTCATGTGATGAGAGACTTTGCATGGGGGGACCTTGTAAGACCCGGGGTGACACGATTCGCTACGACATTCCTTGCTTTGGAGTCATTGAAAGATAAAAAGAAAGTGCTGAACAAATGTTTGTCTCTAATGAATGAATGTAATGCGAGCTTTCAACAAAAGAAGCGGGGAAAAAGGTACGGTACAATTTAAAAGTTAAAGTTTGTAACTAGTAACTAAAAATATTCATTTGCATTCTATATTCTATAATTCTATTGTATTACTGATTATTATGTTGTTTGTTGGACTATTAGGTTGTTGGGATCATTCATAGCAACAAGTTTTAGGACAACGTTGATCTTGCCCTTAGAGTTTTTTCTCCTTTGGTGAAGGTTCTAAGGAGAGTAGATGGTGATAAAATCCCCTCAATGGGGTTTGTGTATGGAGACTTGTTGGAGGCTAAGGAGGAGATCAAAGAGGCCTTTCGGGATGAAGAGAAAAAATATATTCTTATAGAGAAGATTATTGATAAAAGATTTGATGCCAAGCTTAAAGAACCACTCCATAAAGCGGGATATTATTTAAATCCTTATTTCTACTATCCAAATCTTATGGAGATTGAAAATGATGGAAGTTTCTTGAGTTGCCTAGTTGATTGTATGAACAAATTCTATCCAGATGATGGTGACATGCTTGGCAAGATTGGAGACCAACTCTTTGAGCACCAAAGAGGATCATTCGGGAGAGATCTTGCAAAGAGAGAAGAAAAAAAGCCTAATAATAATCCGGGTATATTTTCATTTTCCATTCAAATTAATTTAGTGATTTGACTAATTCTTGTTCGAATGTTACAAATTACTAATTGTTTTCAACTATGACTTAACTAGTTATATGGTGGAAACTTTTTGGGATTGACGCTTCCAAGTTGAGGATGGTGGCAATGAGAATTTTGAGCTTAACAACTAGCTCTTCTGCCTGTGAGAGGAATTGGAGCACTTTCGAGATGGTAATGACTCTTTTTAAGTTTAAATCATATTGTATCACATTTGAGACTAACTTGTCCTTCTTTGTGATTCTAATTTCTAGATTCGTACAAAAAAGAGAAATAGACTAACGCATCAGAAATTACATGATTTGGTCTATGTCAAGTTCAATGCAATATTGAAGAATAAGCATTCCAAAAAGGATAGAGATCCTTAATTGCCTTTGATGATGAAGAAAGGTCCTCCGAGTGGTTAATGACTATAAAGAAGAGAGGAGGTCATCATGATGAGAGTGATGATGAAGTGTTTGCGGGGGAATCTCTTACTTGGAGGCAATATGGAGATATCATTGGAGCTAATCCTAAAAAGAGAAAGAGTTGTAGAACAAAGAAATATAAAAGAAAGAAAAAGTCAGGGGTATCTTCATCAAAGGGAAAGGAGCCTTTGGAAGATGAGGAGGAAGATATGGAATCTTCGGAGTCCGATTCGGATGAGGGAATGGATAATATTCCAACGTTCATCTCCGATGAAGATTAATTTAGTTATCTTTGCTTTTGCTTTCTTTTGGATTTGCTCTTTGAATGTTTACGACTCCGATGAAGATTAATTTAGTTATCTTTGCTTTTGCTTTCTTTTGGATTTGCTCTTTGAATGTTTACGAATTATGAACTATTTGTTGCTTTTGGCTTTGCTTTTGCTTTCTTTTGGATTTGCTCTTTGAATGTTTACGAATTATGAACTATTTGTTGCTTTTGGAACTTAGTTGATTGGGGATTAGCTTATGTTTGTTTAATATCAATTTAGTAAGTTAGTTTATGAATCTCATGATTACACAATAATTATGTAGATGCCTAGATGGTTCTTCATTCTTGATGTTATCTTGTTATTTGCTTGTTTATTATTCCATTTTGACTAACATTATATTTTTTCATGGCTATGCAATCGAATGGTTTCATCATGTGGTCAAGATGCAAGTTTCGTTTTCTACAATTGGTTAGTGACTCTAAACATCATTATTTACATTTTGGTATGTTTATATTTCATTAAGCATAGTTAGATTATATTTTTTGGTTATTATATTATATATATACACCATCCAGTATATTACTCCGATAAATACTACTTATCCCCGCTATATCCTCGATTTCCGCTATCCGATAAGGATTTTGACCATCTGATAAATCTCAATAACCGATATTTAAAACCTTGACTAGTGGTCTATGTTATGATCAAACCATTTATTAAGGAGAGCTGAAGCATGAGCTAACATGTTTAGAGAGAGAGAGAGGGAGAGAGATTATCAAAAGAGGTCGGAGATGGTAGAGAATAAATATTTGCTGAATGAGTAAAGAATATGAGGAGACTAACAACAATGGGGTGGTCGGATGCAGGGTAAATAGCGGCTGCATCAGGAGTTCGGTTTAGAGATTTATGTTGAAGAAGAAAGAGGCAAGGAAGATATTTTGGTCATAAAGGGACCAAACTGCAAGCCTTCATACAATTTGAGGGACTTATGAGCAATTTAAGGATTTGAGTACTAATGTAGAATTATTAAAGATATGATGGACTAATATTTACAAAATTTTCCTTTAAAATCTAGATACTTGCTAATCTTTCCAAATCTCACGCCATGTAAAAAATAAATCTCACAATTGACTACAAATTCCCTCAGAATATGCCACGCTTGTTTATGTCAGATAGTTAATGATGAGATTTAGTTGAGGTTTAGGTGAGGTAAGGACGATTTCGGGGTCCCTTAATCCCCTCCGATGACTAATGGGTTTGAAGGAGATATGAGCCGCAATTTCCTACATATGTAACAGAGGTTAGAGGCTCAGGAGGTTGTTTCCTCCAGAGTGCCATCAGATTCTCAAGTCAATGACTAATTTGATAATCCGAAGAGAAGAGCAGAGTGTAGTCTTTAGGGTTTTTTGCGCATAAACTTGCCTTACCTTTACGAAGTGGAGATGACCACTATTTGTAGGAAGCTGGGGAGGACATTTTGGTAATTTGACCAGTTGGTGAAGTTGGCTGATCAGACACTTTACACGTGTTAATCATTGGGTGAATGAGTCACCTTCATGCTTAATGCGACAACAACAGAGTAGCTGTTGTGCTGGTATGGTTTGAGGAGTCATTACTTCAGTGCGAAGAGTTATGATGATTCTGACCCAACATTAAATATGAGGTCGACTGAGCGGTGAAATGTGGCTATTAAAACTGATAGGTTATCTTATCATTTAAGATATTCTCTAACAAGCCCGAGCAGAAGAAGCCTTTCACCTCAGACCCGGGTTATAAAACTGATTTGAAGATGTCTTTTGACTCGGCCTCCGATCAAAAAGAGATATCAGCAAGGTCCATATTAGAGTCGTGCTTTTAGATTTGTGAGACTTGGTCAATTAATCATGACACGTGTCAGACTTTTGGCTGTTTATTATACCTAGTAATTTTTAGGGTATAATAGTGGCCCTTTTTTCTCGAACTCAAGAAGGTGAGTTCGAGAGAAATTGAACCGCGTCAGTCCTTTTGTCATTTCTCAGATATGAGCCATCGTTTTGGAAAACAACTATGACATGACAAGATGATCTTAGTAGAGGTTGTGCAGCAATTTTGACGAAGTGGCACATTGGCTGACGGGATGTCACTTTGGATTTTAAAAAAGTGTTAGCTGTTTCCCTTGAGTTGTGTTAGCTATTCGGATTGCATCATGTGTTAGTTTTTTCTGTATGAGCCATCGTTTTGGAAAACAACTATGACATGACAAGATGATCTTAGTAGAGGTTGTGCAGCAATTTTGACGAAGTGGCACATTGGCTGACGGGATGTCACTTTGGATTTTAAAAAAGTGTTAGCTGTTTCCCTTGAGTTGTGTTAGCTATTCGGATTGCATCATGTGTTAGTTTTTTCTGACAAGTCAACAACCTCTATCAAACGTAGAAGTTTAATTCTGCGTTTCTCAAATTCGAAACGCACACAACTTGTGCGTTCTCCAGCGAATGTCTAACTCTGCAACGCAGAGTTCAAGCACCAAACGCACACATAACGTGCGTTCTTCAATAGGTTCAACTACGTGTCCCAAACTCTGGACGCAGAGTTGAGCTTCAACGCACACGGCCTGTGTGTCTCAAATCTCTAACAGAGATTTAACTCTGCATCTCAAGCCTTAGACGCAGAGTTAAAGCCCATAACGCCAACTGAGGCGTTTTGACTTGTTCAAACGCAAGTCGAACGGCCTCAAAACCGTTATCCCACGTTCTGAGGGATTCTCGCCCACAAAGGAGCGGAAATAGGGGTTGGTTGCACTCCACATCACCCTATAAATAACCAACTTACTCAACTGAGTAAGGGGTTGGCGGGTTGATAGGTTGATCAATCGGTTTTCTGAGATCAAAACCGCAAAGAGTTGAGGGGAGCTGGTATCAAAACCACCCAAGGTCAACAAATCTCGGCAGTTGAGTAATCGGAAGGAAGAGATCTTCGGGGGATCAAGGAACTGATCAACGATCAGTTAATCAAATCCCGAAGGATCCTTTCATCAAAGGTATCATCCACTTGGCAATTAACCGAATTTTCGGTTCCAACAACTCTGTTTTAGAGTTTTAACTCATTCTGAGTTCTTAAACTCGTTAAGAGTTTTTAATTAGCTTGTAACGCAAGTTAATCACATCAAACCAGACATTCGGTTTTCAACAACTCTTATCAGAGTTCTTAACTCGTTCAGAGTTCTTCAACACTCGTCAAGAGTTCTAAACCGAAGTCATCAAACACTTCAGTTATTCCAGTGAAGAAGGACGGTCGGATCGTCAACGGAGAGCAAGTTCGACGCGATCAATCGAAGGAAGCACTCCATCGCTACCAAGAAGAACCCAGTCTTAAACAAAGGAGAGAATCAAATCCATTCTCTTCTCTTTTGTAATCGGAATCCAAATTGTAATCGATTTTGAGAGAATACAAGTCAAATTTTCTTTCTTTGTCTTTTTACATCAAATTTCCTACCAACAAAAGATGGCGACTCTGCTGGGGACTAGCTTCTCTGACGAGGAAGTGGTGGCGCAATCCGACGTTCACCTCACAGGAACCACCGTCGAAACTCTCGTCGTAGAGTTCGACCAAGCCAAGTATGAGGAGGTCCTCTCCTCTGGGTCCCTTAGCCCAAAAGCTAGGCGTGATACCCACAGGACCTCTACGGAGGTCAACACTACTGCTGAGATGCCAAAGAAAGCCCTCTCCTTTGGCCAAGACCTTAAACTCGCTCTGCGAGTTGAAGATTCCTCCCCCGTATCACTACGGCAAATAATAGGTCAAAAAAGACCTATGTCGGAGGAAAGCCCAACCAACGCCGACGATGCCGCGGCCAAGGCCTTGAAACAGGCTAAGAAAAATGCTGCTCGACGAAGGAGAAGATCCTTACGGCGAGCATACTTGCGGAACAGCCAAGCTACTGCCCAACGCAAAGACTGCGTTTCTGAGCCTGTGCCCGAACTGTGCGTTTCTGCTCCAGAACGCACACTTCGTGGCAATGAACCCGACTATGAGCCTCGGGTTATTCAACTCAAACGCGACCCTCAGTGGCGCGTTGTTCAACATAGACGCACACCTCAAAAGTGCGTCCCAAAACGTGACCTCCAAAGGCACGTTCAATCATTCAAACGCACGCCACAACCGTGCGTTCAGTCAAAACAAGACCCTCAAGGGTCTGTTCAAATAACTAAACGCACACCACAAGTGTGCGTTCAATCAAAACCCGACCCTCAGGGGTCTGGGTCATCAAACAAACGCACGCCACAAGTGTGCGTTCAATCAAAACCCGACTCTCAGGGGTCTGGGTTATCAACCAAACGCACATCACAAGTGTGCGTTCCAGCAAAGAACGACCCTCAGGGGTCTGTTTCAACAACCAAACGCACATCACAAGAGTGCGTTCAAACAAAGAACGACCCTCATGGGTCTGTTTCAAAACGCACGCCTCAAGTGTGCGTTCAACCAAAACAAGACCCGCAGGGGTCTGTTTCAACATCAAAACGCACACCACAAATGTGCGTTCAACCAGGACAAGATCCACAAGGATCTAGTCCATCAATCAAACACAGGCCTCGGCCTCGTGTTTATAAACCTAAACGCGACTTTCGTGTTTCTTCTCAAGAACATGACACGGTCCGTCAGGTTCAAAAAGGACAGCATGGATTTAAGATTCATGTCCAACCCATCCAAGGG